TTTCTTCTTGCGCTCTCCTTATCCAATATATCTCAACATTTTCAATTTCTTTTGTTGTTATGTACCCTGTAATTCTTCGTTCCTTATCCTTTGTCTTCGCATTATTTAAAAATCTGTATACAAAAGCTACTATTCTTAATGCTTTTTCATAACTGCTAAATTTGTCCAAAGGAAATATTTCTTTTACTATATTTTTGTCTTCGTTATTTTCATTATCGACCTTCTCTCTCATTTCTGCTAAACAAGAAACTACTGTTGTCTCTTCATTCTTCAAATCAAAATGCTCGTCCATTGGCCAATTTTCTTTGCTTGAAGATAACAATGAAGGTCCATGAAGCCATCGTTCCGATTCTTTCAACAATTTTGACGCTTGAACTCCTCTATTCAAAATGTCTGCAATATTATCTCTACCTGGGCAGTACTCCCAGATGATTTTACTCATGTTTCGTATTTCTCGTACCCGATTTTGAATAAATGGTTTCCACTTATATTTGTTGCCCTTAATCCAATACAGAGTTATCTTAGGGTCCGACCATATAAATATGTTGGTTGTGTTTAATTTTATATTTTCTGTAATATACTTCTGCAACCATGCTGCACATAAGGCTGCGGTTAATTCTAACTTTGGTGAAGTTAGCGTTTGGTTTAATGGCGCGACTCGGTTTTTGGCCATTAAAAAATTGCAATCGTTATTATCCAAACGTTTTAAATATGCTACGGCTCCGTAAGCGTGAGGACTGGCGTCAGACAAGATATGTAACTCTACGGGTTCTTTTCGGTCAGGTAAAATACAGCGAGTTATAGCGTAATCGTTTAAGCTGGACACATCTTGGATCCATTGGTTCCATTCCATTTTAAATTCGTTTGGCAACAGTGTATCCCATTTAAGGTTTTTCTTCCAAATTTTTTGTAAAAGTAACTTTATTGTTATCCACATCCGCTCAATAGACCAATTGGGTCGAATAGTCCAATAGTTTGCAGAATTATTCTTTTTGTAGGTTCTTTAGCAACGTTAAAATCATTTAAAATTCTAGGAACGTCAATTGCTAGCTGATCGGTAATCATAAACCAATTTACTCCTAAAACCTTTTTTGGGTCGTTAGATTTTAAGTCGTTTGTATCGATTTTCATGTCGTTAAAAATTTTCATTAAATTTGCGCTATTTGAACACCACTTTCTTATATTCATCTTTGCTTTAGATAACATGTTTTTGGAGCGTTTATAGACTTCTAAAGCGACATCTTCGTTATTTACCGATTTTACAAAGTTATCTGTGTAAAAAGATTTTAATAAAGATTTTCCAAATTCACGATACGGTTGGTTTAATAAATGTTACCTTAGGGTCACTGCTAGCAAAATGTCACTCTACACATTCTATAAGTGTCAAACTTCGGCAACTGATCGACAGAAAATATTTCGCCTTGAATAGGATCCTTGAACCACAAAAAGCGATGATAATCTCGATCGTCGTTACATAAAGAGATCTGCAAGAAAGCCTTCTCGATATCGGCTACCAACGCAATATTACCAATTCGAAAGTTTATCAAAATTTTTAGTAAGTCTGGAACTAAATTTTCACCTGTTATTAATTTGTCATTTAACGAAGGCATTCCGGGCGCATGCGCACTCGCGTCGAATACCACTCGCACATGAGAAGTTTCTTTATCTCGTTGATAAACCGGTCTATGCGGTAGATAGTACGTTTTATTATGTTTAATATCACCCTCATATACTAATTCAGAACAGCCTAATCGTTCATATTCCCTTATTGCTCTGTCGTATTCTAATAAAGTTCCGTTTTTACACAACTTATTTATCAAGTTTTTTGCACGATTAAATACACCCGTGTAATTTGAGTCCAAAACCTTATCGGATTGCCATGGTAAAGTTACTTCGTATCTATTGTCCTTAAAAATCAGGTTATTTTCCATAAATTTTTCGGTAAAATTATCTTTCACTTTAACTTCCGAACCGTTAATGCCAATCGTCTACAAGTCCCAAAATCTTTTTAAATTTAAATAATTGTTTTCATCTGAGTCCGTTTCTGTATCACCGTCGATAATTTGCGAATGCAAAATAGTCGCAACATTAAAATTTACAGTAAAATCGGGAGCCCCTTCGTTAGATTCTCTTGCACCGTGAATAGTCCACCCTACTTTAGTTTTTATAGCTCGCAATTTTTCTGTTAAGGTACGCGTTTCACCTGTAACCAACATCCAATAATTTTCGGTACTGATAAGCAACGATATTCCTGCTGCTTCTAAAGGCATTGTCTGAATATCCGCTAACTGATTTTGTTTTGCAAAATCTTCGATAACTGGATCGGTAAGAGAAGGGAAGGGGGGTTAATCGAATCGAAGCATATTTCGGGAGCTTCAATTGCATGTATTGTAATTAACTTATCTGAATATTGACTCTTTACAACAACTTCAACTTTATTGTACAGTTTGGCAACACCGCGTTGCGAACTTCCGAAGACACAAATGGAAATCTTGTGCTTTCCGATAATTGGTAGGTTGAGTTGCCGTGAAACACATTGTTTTATATAAGTTAATTGGCTTCCGGCATCAAAAACCGCCCGTAATAATACTTCTTTTTTATCTTCATTCGATTTTACAAAGACACACGCAGTTTGTAGATACACATTTTCGAGACGTCCTGTAGAAAATACAGTTACGGCTGCTTGTTCTTTAGAGCTGTCGTTACGTTCATTTTGACTTTCATTTTTTGTTTTTGGTTTGTATGAAGGGTCGCATAAGGCAGTAACATGTCGCCCTTTACACTTTTTGCACGTTATGTCTTTTGTTTTGCAAAATTTTGACCTATGATTTTGCCCAGTACAACGAAAACATCTGTTACTGTCCTGCAAAAGTTTTTTTTTATCCGTCAAACTAATATAAGTACTTAAACCATCTTTGGTTAGATAATTTTTATTTTTGCAAAATAAACACTGTTCGTGAGCCACACTTAACAAGCCCTGAGCTGTAAATATTTCATTATGGGTTGATTTAAATCTATTTCGGGTGTCGTTACGCGTCGAATGTCCCGAATTTTCTCGCGAACTCGCGTGATTTTTATTGTCTTTATTTTCGTTAGTCTGAGCCTGCTCCAACGCATCAACTTCTAGTTTTATAAAGTTTAATAAATCTGCGATCTTTTTTTTACAGTTTCTTTGGAAAAACTCTGTATTTTAATTTTATTAAACTGAACTCGCAAATTGTACGGTAAAACTTTAAAAATCATGGATTTGACCATTAAACCATACTGATCAGCTGATATGCCCAATGGTTCCAACGAGCACGTTATTGAAGAAGCCGTGTTGTACAAGCAACGTAATCCACTAACATCTTTGTCGTATTTTACCGACGGAATACCGCATAATTTTTACACGTAACAGTCAATAATTCTTTCCGCTTGTCCGAGCCGCCTTACTCGTTAAAAGCGACTTCAAATAAGTAAATTTGCAGTTCATACTTAACTCAGGATTATTATGTATAGCTTGATTGTATTGCTCACAGAAAGCTGGCCATGCTTCCAGGTCGCCGTTAAATTTTAATAAATCAAGTTTGGGTAATCTTACCGATTTCTGATTGGTTTGGGATTGTACGTTACCAATACTCATTTCTGGAATCGGAGAGATATCCTGAGGGTCTCACATGTATTCAATTCCCACGTTCTGCAGCTGCTTTCCGTCCGATCTGCGTTTTATAGCCACTTCCAAACCAATAACATCCATAGCGTTAATTTCATATTCTGTCACTTTGTCACATTCCATTTCGATGAAATTGTCCTCTAACGTCGGCAAGATTTTCGTGTTCAGTTCGTTGAAAGTGACTCTTAGAAGTTTAATTTTTTCACACAAAACTGAGAGTTCGTCCGGTGAAGATTCTGCTGAATTTACGGCCTCATCTCCGGCCTTGCACAACTTCGTTAATTGCCCGCGATAATTTTTACGTAAAGACACGTCGGTTTTTGATTCCATTTTCCAAATATTATTTCGTTCCACGTTAATTCCAATACTCAAACAAACACTTCCCGAGTTTCGGCACCAAAATGTGGAATATGTCGTTCAAATAAACACCGGATTCGTTACTAAGTGTTCTCTAATGTTTAAATATTAAAATATAATGGTGGAAAACGGAAAATAATACGTAATTTGTAAAAACAACTTCAAAAGTGACACACTAAAAATATCAAACGTTCAAAAGCCAATCTAGCGTTGCGTTCTCGATTTTTGTTTGTTTATTCGCGTAGCACTCCGTCACTAAGTTACTGTTTTTTAACACCCTCTATGATTGTTTAAATAAAATTGAAGCTTTTGTTGAAAACCAAAATAAGAAATCCGGTCGTCAGTCACAAATAACTGACTTTTTTCTAGTGAAAGAGTAAGAAAACTTTAATATGTACATACATATGTATGTATATGTGCCTACATACTATATTTATATACACTGGGTACATATACAATACATTTGTATGTACATATATTATGTAAATACATACATACATATGTGCTACTATTTCATAATTTTCGTTTTTTGTTTAAAAATCATAGATTAGGGCATTTATGTAACGTATAATCCATTTTTAAAAATGAATGTTCATTCACAAAAAAGTACATGCATTTGTAGTTTTTATTGATAACTCGAAGTCTTGATAACTAGAAATTTCGACTGTATATACTATTACCTGTTTCTCTAATACTGTACCTCGTCACCTTTACTTTGATTTCCAGTATATATACCATTCATAATGTATGTGCTTATAGATTGAATGATTCCAATTAAATAAAATTGTTCATTTGTAGTTTGAATAATCAAACAGCGTCACATGGGCCCATAACTTTGTGCCGCAACAACTATCACAATGATGACTTCAGCTGCCGCCTAATATCATTTAAGATTTTGTGCACGATTATGGGGGATTAGTGATAGTATTGCGTGAAGTGGTTAACCCCTCGATTTTTTATTATTTGATATTGTATCCCTTATTCTTTTTAGATTGTTCACATGAGACGTCACACTGGAGAACGACCTTACAAGTGTGGGGAGTGCGGAAAAGGTTTTCCTAGATCGCACGATTTGAAATGCCACGAACGGACGCATTCCGGAGAGAAGCCTTATTTGTGTACGCTATGCGGGAAATCCTTCAACAAAAGCAACAAATTGGTAAATATTTGACACATACTAACACTAGTACTAAAAAAAAAAAGATTCTTTCGACCCGGTTTTTGCCGGACTACCGAGGGTCGCGCAATAAGTCCTTAAAAAGGAGTAGAAACAAATCATTCTTAAAATTTTTTTCGACATAACCTCCTTTCAACTCTGTACAGTAGTCTAAGGGTTTTTTCAATTATTTCAAGCGTGTTAAAAGTGAAATTATGGAAGCTACTCAAAATAGGCATTTGTTTGGGCTATTACTTACTTATTAGCCTACCAACCCCTTTCTTCAAGTTTGAAAACAAGATATAATAACAATAGTAATGTTTATTTGTCATACAAACCATATTAAGCAAAAATGTGTTAGAAACAATTTAGAAATGATGTAAATTAAACCCCAGGACAAATTAAAGCTAGGGGAAACTCGGTCAGCAAGGTTCACTTTACACTATCGAGTTTTTCTTTTTGTAACTTTTTTTTTGGTTTCGGATCAAGTCATCCATATTATGAAAGTTAAAGTCGTCTTGAAAAACTTCAAGAGATCTAGAAGTTTGAATTGCTTTGCGAGCTGATAGAATTCGGGTGATTTTTTAAATCTATGTTATATTTATCATCGATTTCTGTGACTTGAGAGGCCCGGAAATCCACCAATTGCGTTGGCAGGGATCGCAGCTTTTAGACATGCCTACGAAAATACTTCACCAATGTCAAAAAACATTAAATTGTGGGAGGGATTAGTTTTTTGCCACTCTGCATAGCACACATACGTTCCAAATGGACCATTAACCGAATTATAAAGTGGTTGTAATTTATGCGTGCTGTGTCGTGGCACGGTTAACAGGACATTATTTTCATAAGCATAATCCAACAGTGTAATAGCGCGGTGAGTGGTATGGTTGGCCATGATTAACAGGCACTTGTTGTCAGTTGTAGGTATTACCCTTTTTACAAAGAATTAAAGCCGTTCCAGGAAAGACGAGTGCTAGCGGCATGAATTTGCCAGTTGCATAGAAGCAAAACGGGAAGCAATAAGTGAGTCACGTTCCGAGGACGAAAACCTTCCAAGTTGTTTTTTTCCAACCATTGAAATCCTTTGATGGGTTTTTTGAGAAGGCTTGAATACTTGTTATCTAAAATGATTTTATGTCCTTCCGTAATATCTTTTAAAATTTGAAAAATAATTCAACCCGAGGTCAGTTGAACCTATGGGCCCTTGCTATGCTCCTAGGTTCAGGTTGTCAGAGACTTAAGTCTGGATGTCTGGGCATGAAATTTTGATACTATTGATTTCGAAATATTTTTTTTGTGCATAATGAAATGTATGCCATTTGATACAAATCTTTTCTGATTAAAGCGTGAAAATGGATATCCAAGGACTTTTATGTTTTCAACAAATTCATCTGATCTAAATAAAAAAAACTGGTTTGTATCTACTCAGTCTTTGCCAATGCCCGCCTCATTAACAATAGCCCATGCCATATCTCCTTCGGTGGAAATCCCGATTAAAAATTGGGTAAAATGTCATTACCATCTAGGCGTTTCCTAATTTGTTGATTCATAATTTCTTCAGGTATTTTGAACAAGACTGATACTATACTAATTGGCCTGAGGTCGGTGTTTGACTTAGGATCTGATTTTTTTGGAAATCCTTCAAGCATCTGATAATTTATTTCTATTTTTTTATTATTTATTATTTAATTTATTTTGTAGATTAGTTATAAAAGACAAAATTCTATCACAACTCAACAAAATGATTTCCAAATTTAACTGACATGGAACTATTAATTTCGGTAACAGTGTGAAAGGTAAAGAAAGAAATGAAGTTTTTTTTAAATTTTGTTTTTCTACTCCCGCCTGTAAAATACCCAATTACACACTGATCTAGCGTGCGGGAAGCGTCACTTTACCACGTCAGTTTCGTTGCCCACGGATCCGAGCCACTTCGATCATTTCTGGGATTTTACTGCACGGGTTTGGGAGCAATCCTATGTTTTCGGAGATATTTCCCACGCTTTGAATTTTGACGTTTGTCAAAACGTAGTGACGTTTGTCACTACTTTATTTGAAACGAGCGAAGCGAGTGTTTAATAAACGAGTGAGTTTACCAAACGTGTTGCATACTATATTTTTTCTACGACCGTTAGTTTTTGTGTACATTTTCGCAAAACACGAATACATTCACTGACATGACAGTCAGAATTGACAAACTTCAAAATTCAAATCGTGAGAAATATCTCCGAAATCATCGGATTGCTCCCAAACCCGTGCGGTAAAATCCCGAAAATCTTCGAAGTGGCTCGGATTCGTGGGAAACGAAACTGACGTGGTAAAGCGACACTTTCGGCACGCTAGATCTGTGCGTAATTAGGTATTTTACAGGCGGGAGTAGAAAAAGTGTTGTACGCAACACGTTCCGTAAACTTTTTAAGTCACTCGTTTATTAAACACTCGCTCCGCTGGTGTCAAATAAACTCGTGAATCAAATGCGGTTTATCGCACTTGTTGCATAATATACTATTGTAGATTTGACGACGAAAATTAAAAAAAATCTTTATTTACTTAATTTGGATTGCCTAGAAGTTCCGGAATGTTACTTTTTTTTATGTTGTTAATGTTAAGGTCATTCAATTTTTTTAAGTGTTTTAGAGTTGTTACTGTTTTGATGCAAAATTAAAAATACTTTTTTTCATCTCTCATTGCAATGTTTGTTTGGTTTGTTTTTAATTTCCGAGATGGACTCTAATATATTAAAAATGTTTAATAAGGGAGTGTTAAAGAAATTAACTTTTTCTTTAACGCCAAATAAATGAAATAAATTTTCAAATGGAGCCTAAACAAGGTCCCTATGAAGACTCTTAAAATTTCTTACCTTAATCCTCTTCTTTTCCACTCGTTCAATCTGCTTTTGAAATTTACAATAAATTAACGAGTGGTTTGTCTTATCTGGCATATCTTCGAAACCACACTGTATTACCGGCGCAAAATTTGCTAAATACGGTGGATGTAGTAATTTTCCGGAAACTAAATAATCAAAATGATATAAATAATGAATTCTTACAAATTTCGTTATCTAATTTTCAAATCAATAATGACATATAGGAACAGAGTTTAAAAAAACTTTATTTCTTTATTTAAATTTTACACTGTTACCGGAAAATATTCTTAAAAAATATTTATTCAAAATTAATAGTTCCGCTACAAGTCTGGATCAGTTACATTTAGAAATGATTTTGTTGAGTTGTGGAAGATCTGGATGCTAGACATTTTTCCCAATTTTCAATAGTTTTTTAAAAAATATACCATTTACCATACAATCCAATTTTTTCTCTGAATATTTTCTATTCGTATGTACTTATTTGTTGCTTTCTTTTATTTTTGTATCATTTTTCAGACCGTTTTCTGTCTTCCGCATAGGTCACATTCTATGTCTTTGTTGAATTTTTTACCATTCTCCGCACTATCTGTATAACAAAATTTGATTTCAGACGATTGTCTATAATTTGAATCTCCGTAGACAGGGCCTCCTTACTGTGCCACAACATCGAAAAGAGCTTTTGAAAAGGTCTTTCTCATACCAAATTGTAACTATGATTGGTAAATATGTCCCCGTAATAGAATTTTCATGTTTCTTAAAAATTGTCTTTTGGGTGAGCAAAATGTATACTTGCAGAATTTCATTTTCGTTTTGACTTAATTAAACCTTTGCTTAAATACTTGCTTCTCTTTAATTTCCTCCCACTCCAAGCGATGCCTGTTCCCTTCAGTTAATTTAATGCTGACAGTATCTGACTATGTCAGGTGTCTGACTTTTTTAACCCTTTGCCACCGGGATATAATTTTCTTAATGTTATTTTTATTAATGGTTAAAACAATAAAGCTATTTATTGGTGCGGACGTCCCTGTCCCGCTGGTCTAGCCTCGCGCGGGTCCCAAAGAAATACGGGCTAGTTGAGATATACCGTAGAATTAATTAGTCAGGGCAGTGCTGGGGGTTGTTTAAGTGATTGTGGGGGTCGGGTTGTGTTCTTTCTCCGACAGGATTACGAATAAGTCTCCACGTGTTTAGTAATATTCAGAACAATTAAAATAAAGTTTTTTGTGGGTGCCGGAGAGCGGACCGCCTGCATGGATGGTTGAAAATAACATTATATCTAACAACTATGAAGTGCAGCGCCTGTAGAAATAAGAGAGAGACGCACAGATGTGATGGATGCTCACAGCCATTCTCTAAAGAATGCAGAAGAAGAAGAAGAGTTATGCAGTTAAAAGAACGAAAGCTCAAAGCATGAAACATTTGAATTGCTCCATAATTTGCTTGAGGCTAAGAACCCACTTATACAAAGCAGGGATGAAATTATTAATCTCCTTAAGAAGACCGCTTGAAAGAAAAAGTGAATCAAATCCGATCCAACCTACCTACGCAAACATAACCGCTAAAGAGACTGGTGTTTTGCCTAAAACATCTGGCGTAATCAACACGCTTAGTCTAATAATAAAACCAAAAGGAGATCAAACCGTAGAGGAGGTGCAATCGTATATTATAGATAAAATTAAATCAGCAGATATAAGTATTGGTGTCAATAAAATTAGAACTGCATCCGGAAAAGTATCAAAACTGTTGTGGTAGTCACCCAAAGCAAGAATGTCCTGCACAGATTAAGAAGTGTGTCAATTGTGTTGAAGCAAATGGAAAATATAACACAAATAACGAAATAAAACGCTCGGCTGATGATCTACAGTGTCCAACCTACCAGTATCACCTAGAGGTCAAGCGGTTGTAAAAATGGCTAGTGTAAAAGGAGCAGAGTTGTTTGACATAATAAGTGAAGACATGCATAGTGAGGTGATTAGTGCAGGTGATATTTCAGAAGCAGTAGGTGCAATAAAAGAAACAAAGTTTAACGTCATGCAAATTAATATAAGAAGCGTTAAATATTTTTTTGAGGAGTTACTCACATTTTTAGAGACATTTAAAATGCATTTTTGCGATGTCATAGTATTGAGTCAGT